CACGCTCGGTTCGTAAGAAGTTAATTTAATGAAATGATGTCTCAAATCTTGCAAACTGATCATTGTACATATGCAATATGAGGATATCAATTAAGTCGTGGCTTTTACGACCAACAGCTAAAATTTTGGCCGATTTACGGCTAACCCTCCAAGGCTAATGTGAAAATCCAAATTGAGATCCTAGCGATCGGGTTTTGAAAATTTCAATTGAGCCCTACACTCCAGAGGCATGCTTTTTGATACCCAACCACCCTCCAGTCACGGAGTGTTAGCCCAGTAGCTGAGGTTTGACTGAGCACAAACCTGACAACCAATCCTGCAATGCAGTCTTTCAGCCTCGATGAATAAGACCAGCCCCTTCCAGCCTTAGAGAGAAATGCCAGTGTGTGCCGGCATTCAACTAAATATTTAATAAGGCATGCTTAGACCACCTTCTTAAAAAAGGATCGTTAGTCAACCAGTATCTTAATGCATCTGACGAGAGAGGACTTTGTAACCCTTTCGAAACAGATCTGTAGTACCAAGTTTTAATTTGTATTTTCCTGTACAATTGTTTACAAAGCTCCATGATTGTAGAGCACTCTCCGACTCGTGGATAAGGTTTTTTTTATGTTTATGCATATATATACATAGAAAGTTAAAAAAACTGCGAGGATGGACAACTTCTGACGTAAAAATATAAAAAATTTTAATTAAAAACGTTTCGGTCAGAGACCTTGTTCAGTTATTTACAACTTTTGAAATAAAAAAGAGCATTAAATAGGATCGAAGTTCTAATGATTACATAATTACAGATAACGACTAATGAACTGGTGCTAGTAAACAAAAAACCTAATTAACAAGAACGCAATGGAAAAAATACAAGGAACAAACCCTAAAAACTAAGAGATTCTTATCTCTTATCTGTTTCGACCCACATAGGTCGAAACATTGTGCACCCTGTTATTTATGCAGTTCTATATATATATATATAGGTCCAGTTAGATTAATACAACGACTACACTTTAATCTTTTTCATCAGGGGATTATATTTTATTTTATCCCCCGATGAGTGAGCACTCACGAAATAGGCTTGTAGGAATGGAAGCGTGGTCGTGGGTGCGAGAGTAAGCTCTATGTAGGTCTTCATTATGCTACGAAAACTTTAAAAGGTAGATAGTTACAATCGGCACGCTCAAGAGATCCATAAGTAGAAGATTGGAAATTGACTTTTCTTTCTTTTGAGTCTTCATTTCATGTTTGAAAAACAATGAAGAAATGTCGTCACAAACAGACAGGAATTATTTTCCAAATTAATGGTTCATACGTTGTNGGGAGAGCGCTCAATTGACATTGCAAAAACCTTATGTCTAGTTTTAAGTTTGAAGGCGGGTATGGGCCGCTTTCAAGCCAACCTGGTAGAGGGAAATGCATAGGGATCAACGTCAGGGCTAGTGCCTGTATGCAGCCCAGCCCCCAAGCTATCCAAGGGTGGGTTGCAAATGACTATGTGCTCAAGGAGTGGGAGGGTAGGTTCTTGTTTTATAAAATATGGGGGGATTTTTTGTGGACATCTTGTTTGAGCTCTTATGATGGAAATTTTCAATTTTGCAAGGTCACTTGTTTTTTCGGATATTAACTGACTGTGTTGACTCTTTGGGTATGTTGTGGTGAATTAACTTAGATCTATCTATATATGTGTTCATTATCCAACTTTGTTTCGTAACAAAACGTCTAATAATATATATATATAATATATATATATATATGATATATTATAATATATATATGATATATTATAAGAAGTATAGAACGTAGGTATTCGAAACGTTTGGTAAATTAGGGTGAATGAATATATAAATTTTCTTACCAATGTTCGGGTTGTGTGACTGCAGCCAGCCCAGTCCGCGCGCGGTCAAGTTTTGCGCCATTTTGGTCGCGTGACCATTAGACTCTTATTTATAAGGGCGGTCGTAAAGTTTAGCATGCCTTTACGTTCTTTTCGCGTTCCTTAGGCTGAACAAGGTAAAGAACTGTATTTTCATGTCTTTAGTTAATTAGTTTCTGTACTGCACTTCATTTCGAATTATATTGCTACGTTCATTTCTTATGTAGCGTCGTTCGACAAACATTCGCATTACGTCATCAGTGTACTTTTGCCATTTATTTTCAGTTTTATGGCCTCCGTTTGAGTTCAGTAAAGTCTACCAGCCATAACTACAACGTTTCATTTAATCTAAGTAGTTAGAGCTTGTAATGAGTGCTAAAGACGTTTGGCCTTTGGCCTGGAGTCTTAGATCAAGGGTAGTAGTAGAAGGTGCTCAAGACGGTGAAAAGGCCGAGTAACGATAATGTTTAGCAGACTTATAGTTTTGGTTTTACTCTATGATCTCGCCATTGGACGAATGCGTTCGTTTTACCATAATTTCTCTTGCAATAATAAATGGGATAAATAATATGATATTGTTTGTGTTGATTTTTGCGATGTATCAGCTTCTATATCACAATATTTCCAAATGATAGCGATCGTGCGTTACCACATCAGACATTAATATAACTAAGGTCAAAACTGAGGCAGTGAAATTCTGTACACATATCAGATTCTTTCTTGCGTCTGATGCAGATGGTCTTTTCAATTGTAGGCAGAAGTATGCAAGCGCTCCGTTTACATTCCCAAGGGGGTACCCTGAACACAGACTTAATTCACTTAACAAATATAGCTTCAAGCCGTGTCCGATTATCTTTTGACTTTCATCATAAGAGCAAATCTGAGACTATGGGAATTTGAAGGAAAAAAACGCATGACTGAGAAACTGAAGTTAGTACAGTGCAAATGAAATTTTGCGAAGGCAGACGAGAATTGAGAAGATCGCGTTATGCTGCTTCGGGCACGACACTTCCCGCTCTAAAAGCCTACAGAATTCTTAACATTGCACAGTTTAGTCTGTTTGCTGCTGGTCTTATACCGTTAGCTGGAGACATCTCTCCTCAACCTGGTCCTTCTTTTCAACTAAAAAATTCTGGCTTATCGTTCGGCCCCAAAAGTAGAGGATTAGCTAGGGCTCATCTTAATATTCGTAGTCTGCTACACAAGATTGATCAAGTGAACCTTATCATGGGCGGTGTTAAGTCGTTTGATATATTATCATTCTCGGAGACTTGGCTTAATGATTCGGTTACTGACGACGAGATTCTCATGCCTGGCTATAGCTGTGTGAGGCGGGATCGCCAAGGAAAGGTTGGTGGAGGAGTGGCAATTTATTNCCCAATCTTAGTTTTATGATATGTTCGTAGTTTCTCACTTTATTAGACTGTTTTTATTTAGTATTCACAGTCGACTGTAAGCTGCGCTTTAATCATTGGTGTTAAAACGAAATCCTTGGCGAAGAGCTCTGCATTTGGTAACTTCACGTATTCCAAGATAGGTTTTAATTTGAAAACGATTGTTTTGATTTCACTTTAAAATTTCTATTACACAGAAAAGGCATGTTAAAAAGTCTTATTGAGGGAGGGGGGCATTGGGTTCTCTTAGGAACCGAAAAACCGCTCTAAAGAATGGCCAAAACCACAGAACCGAAAGTCCCAATGCCCTTTCCAAGTTCAAATCTTGATTGGAGACCTTTCTTTTTAAGCAAGGTTATGAACTATCCTAGGTTCTCCATTTTGTAATTAATTTTGTTATTATATATATATAGGTATACGATTTTAGTCCTTTTCAAAGCATTGTAAAGCGCTTGGCACTGAAAAAGATAGGCGCTATATAAATATTTTATTATTATTATTATTGTTACTATTATTATTATTTCCTATGGTAATATTAAGTCAACCGCAAACTTGTTAATTTTTAAAGATTTGAAATGTCATTTTATGCGGATTAACTTCTTACTAACCGCCTTATTGAGGAATATTGACCAAAGGTAATGACAGACAGCGATGTTTGCACAAAAATGAGAAAAGGGTCAGTTCTGATTTCTCAGCTCAGCTCAAGCAAGCGAGGGCTGCGAGATTAGAAATAAGTTCTTAAAAAAGGTGCTAGGACCAAATTTCCTTAATTTTCAATTTGCTGACTTTATAATTGTTCTAATTATTAACGTGACATGTCCAGTATTTTGCTTATGGGAACAAGAATGTAGCTGATATGACATTAGGTAAATGTTGAGCTTCCTGTTTGACATCCCAGGTGCTAGACAATACAATAAACAAAGTAGCAGAAGAAGTTCTTTCTACAGATGAAATGGAAGAAAGACAGCCTAAAATTCAGGTAAGCAGTGATTTCGGAGCTCCATTATAGCAAACAAGTAAGAGTCATACGAAATTAAAGCTATGTTTAAAGGGATCGATCTTTGGAGACGTTCCAGGGCAAGACTCACCGAGTAAACATTGGCCCAAGCAAGACTGAAACTTTGAATCTTTATTACAAGTTTCGTATCAAGTTCTCCCCTTTCCGTCCGTTAAGTTTATTTCAAATCAGTAGTTTCAAATTTTCCACTGTTTTAACTCAAAGTTGGTCAATTTACGATCACTTCGAATTATCACGAAATAAAAGAAAAAAAAACGCGATTACCAGTTTAGGAGGATATTAGGATTAACGACATGGCTCTCACTTTCGATGTTCGTAAAACTTCCAAACGAGCCACAGGACTTTAAGGCAACAAATATCTCGCATCTATCACAGGATGTCATATAATCTCCATACTGAACTTTGCAAAGACTGTTTTCATCTGTGACATCCCACGCGAATGAATAATTGAATAGGAAATTCATGGTGAGATATGAAAATTGCTTGGTGACACACAAACACACTTGACTGAAAAGATATCTACTTCCTCGACTGACAATCGATTAATTTTTCACGCTCCGACCTAAAATACCAATCAGATGCAACAAAAAGCAATTACGCAAACTCACTCTTACTCAGCAATCTATTACCTCTTCCTATGAGTTTCATTATCTGTTAGATAGTTCTCATGCAAATTACAAACCGCAATACACACATATTTTAATTTTTTCAAAGCCAAAGATTTCATATTTACTTGTTGTCCACTGCCAGCTGCGCTTTCAGTCGTTGGTGTTAGAACGAAATCATAGGGGAAGAGCTCTGCATTTGGCAAATTCACGTATTCCAAGGTAAATTTCAGTTGGAAAATAATAGTTTTGATTTTATAGTAAAGATCTTATTACACAGACAAGACATGTTTGAAGGTTTTATGGCCTTAACTCGTGCAGATAAAAACACAAGGTTAAGAATATAGCACGGATACTTAAAACTTCTTAAGCTTAAAGTCCTTAAGTTATTTATGAAGGGATTTATCGACTTGTTCAGGCAAGACATTTGTCAAAGCAAGACTGAAGCTTTAAATCTTTATTATAAGTTTCTAATAAAACGTTTCTTTCCCTTCAAGTAAGTTTATGTCAAATCAGCTTTATGAAACTCTGCACTGTTTTGACTCAGTGTTATTTAAATACTTTGCAAAACTTTCCACTTGTTTTTCTTCTTATCTTAGGGTTACAGATGCAATGATGTTGACAATCCCGCTTCTTTTACGCCTGTCGTTAACTTTTTACGATGATCTGAGCAAAAACTACTATTAATAATGAAGTTTCGACATTCATTTCAGGTATGTAAATGTAGCCAAAATTGGAAAAATTATGAAATCAAGCTTAACGTAATTTTATACAATCTCAATTTTTTTTTTCGGGTAGTATACCTAGTGCAATTTGAGTTAGATTAAACGAATAATTCAGCTTACAAAGACCCTGGGAATATGTAAAAAAATAATTTACAAAACCTTGTTAATTTTACGTTAATGTTCAGCATGAACACAAAGATTATGCAAATTTTAGCCACGCAAACAGAAATTTTCGCAGAATTTATACAGAATACTTCTCTCAAGCTTGGTATCAGATATAATTTTTCTAGAAAGGTAAAGCTAATCCAAAAACTAATTTGGTGTTTAGTGGACGAGTTTTCCGAGCGTGTACGTGTCGTGTGATCAACTATGTTTTAGTCTGTTTGACCTTTATTTCTTTTGCATTGTGTTAAATGCAAAGGGGATTTCTCTTAGCAAATCATAATGTAGAAGTTGACATTTTTAAAGTAAATGTAGAAGTTTATATTTTTAAAAGAAATAGCATAAATGTATGTGAAGGATGTCGTGCGCTAATAGACACCGAAAATTATTTAAAATTTGCCTAAAAAATGTTGGGGGAAAAGTCTTTAGTCTCTTCTACGCCTTGTTCTGTCTTGTTTAGCGCAGAACCGAAATAATCAATTGGGAGGTTATACTTCCACAGGTTGAAGTGGCCAGCAATTTCGAGGAACATAGGCTTAAATGTTAAGACAATCACACTACTTACAGTTCCGCTTCCACTTCTAGTCAACACCAGCACTTACCTTCACATTGAAACTCCTAGTACTATTTTGTTAAAAAAAACTTTTGATTCTTTTTGGGCTATATACTTTAGTTTATTCTAATAAAAAAAGTGACACTTTCAGACTGAGTATCTCTTAGATGTTGTGACCGACGAAGAAAATCGCTAATTAATTATTAACTTGCACAGTGAAAGTGTCTGTTTGTCCGTGAGTTGAGGAAAACCAACCGTGTGTGTAGTATTCGCTACGTACTTTTGCCATTTTCATGACGTGCTCGCGGTAGCGAAACTATCAAAAAGAGGTCATCTTGCAGGAATGGACAGCCGCCATATTAGATATACTAGATCAATTCTAAAAGCATGGAATGAACATAAGACAGCTCAGTTAGGGTTTTTGCAAAAAAAAAAGATAAATAAACAAAAAAAAACCCAGCAGTGATTTAGCAGAGGCCATGCTACACGACATTTCGGAAGAAGGTCAAACAGAAAGCTCCTCTCGGTACTTGGGTGAACGTCACGCGGGAAACGTTTACAATCGATCGAAAGATTAATCCCAATTAAGTTTTTCAGTGACCTTCTTCTCCTAGTAAAAACGAAATACAGGATACATTCCCCAAAAATTTCGTTTTGGTATCCTCTATTCTTATTGAACATGGATTGTGCCAGATTTTCTCGCAGATGCGTAGCGCTTCTCTTCGTACCTTGCTTTGTACCTGAGGAATGACACCAATACAAATTCAAGTATTGGAATGTCTTCGTCTCTATGTAATGTGTATCCAGACGTTAAGGGTCGATTCCTCGTTAAACCTCTCGCTTTTTACACTTATTTTCAAGAGCATAATTTATGAGTCTGATATTTCAGCCATGAGTTGTGATTGTATCATGGTACAATGTACATTTGTAATTTGCCCGTCTTACAAATTCTCCTATTTGGTCTTTGGTTCTGTCATATCGAAAGCGTCGTCGATATACCTCTTCCAAAGTAGCGGTTTAGTTGTGCTCTGGGTAGTAATACCCTTTTTTCTAATTTTTCCATGAAAATAATGGTAAAAATTACTACCGTTATGGTACTCTTTGCATTATTCGGGGTCCCGGATAATAGACAATAAACACGGCGCGCAAAGCATCTCGGCCTAGGGCCATCCTCGTGGTTCGATTTCGTGGCTGTTTGTGCTTTACAGATAGAAAACGTTGTGTTCTTACCTCATTCTCGTGGCTTTAATCTCGGGGTTGGTTGTGCTCTACAGACAGATAACGTTGTCGTTTTATCCCGTCCACAATAGCGGTTCAGTTGAGCTCTGGTTGATGATATTTTTTGTACTTTTGCCATGGATGTACCTTGTTACTCGTGCAGAGAGAGAGAGTGGCCGTATTTAGGAAACAGATCCTTGAAGCACATTATTGACAAACATTACGACCAAACTAATGTTATTGGCGTTTCCAAATTCTATCCAAACATTGATCCACTGTTGATCTTCAAAACATTCAAGGAAAAGCTTTGCGCAGGCATTCTGCTAGTAAAAGTTGATCTCCGCTATCCATCCGCGCCAAGATTGATTTATTACTGCCCGATAGAATTTGAAGTAGGCAGCTATCCAATTGGAAGATGGAGCATGCCAACAGAGGAAACCCGTTATGTAAGAGTCGTATGCACCACCTTAAGATGCTCCTGCAACCTTCTTGTGCCTAGATGGGTGTTAACAATTTTTCCGGATAGAGACCCTAACTAGTTGGACTAGCTAGACCCTAACTAGCGATCTCTTATTGGAAGTGATGCTCATGGAGCTAAAATCCAAAGCTTTGGCAAAATTAAATAAGGAAAGGAACTGTTGATTGCAGTCACGACGCAGAAAAGTCAATCAGAATGATATACCTTTTCAGTGTAGATGCGCGAGAAAATAGTCAAGAATTGAGGCTCGATAAAAAAAACAAAAAACAAACAGAGCTGTAACTTTTTGCTTTAGCTGAGATATTTACATTGCTGTAATGACATGATTCCAGATCTAGTTGAACCCAATCGAGAAGTCATCTGGCTAAACTGACAGAAGCCCCACGTAATCTAGCTCAACATAGTCTACCACAATTCTTTCAACCTGGTTTTTCCCAACTAGTACCATGAATCAGAGTCAATTAACCTTCTGCTTTGTCTACCTGCTTTGTAAAATAAGTCTGATATGCTGTTTAAAAATTGTCCTTGTACCATTACCTGGAAGCTTTGCAGCTAAATGGCTTCCTTTCTTACTAGAATCAAAGCATAGTAACAGCTTCCCAGTACAATTAGTTTCCTCAATCTTAGAAGTCGCATAGATGTAATATTTGATTACAAGAGATAATGCGTGGTGCAATGGATTAAAATAACAAAAGAAGTTGGTGTTAAATTCGATATGTTTGTACCTTTTACATCATCATGAAATGCACAAAAAGGAGCGTATAAACAATTATGCTCGATTATTTGGCTCTCCTCTTTTCGAGTATGATAGATAATAGAGAGGTTATTTGCATTCCTGGAAAATTATTCTGATTTATTTCATTCCTTCGCAACATTTCAAGGTCTCCTCATACAGGTACCTCTTTTTGAGACTAAACTAGGCTAACGGGTGTTGTTAATGATATTCCTACCAAGATAATAGAGAGAGAGAGGGGGAGAGAGAAAGAGAGACAGGGAGAAGAGGGGAGGGGGAGTGGGAGAGAGAGAAAGAGAGAGGGAGACCTCATATGTGTCATTTCCTTCTTGCCGCCCCTCACCACACAGAGTGGGGAGTAAAATTGACAATCCATGCACTAGTGGCCCCTGCTCAACCAGAGTGGATTGTAGCGGAAGTAAGTATTCTAATCGAAGCAGTTTGCACGTCTTACAATTTGTTCGATTTCGTGATTGGTTGTGCTCTACAGACAAAAAGGGTCGTCATAGTTCCTCTTTTAAACAAGCGGTTTAGTTTTCCTCTGTGTTCTCATTGGCCTTTAATCTCGGCCAATAAGAACACAGGATTGTCCAAAATGGCTGCCCTCGACCATTTTCTCTTCGATGAGGACCTAGATACTCGAGGATAGCCATGATTCCACGTTGTTATTCGTGCAGGGAGGCTCTCGGACGAGTGTTTATATCCACGGAATCTAAGGAGCATATTACTGAAAGACACTACGACCTAAAAAATGCTATTGATGTTTCCCAATTCTATCCAAATGTTGATCTTCAGTCGGTCTTCGAAATATTCAAGGCCAAGCTTCTCGAAGGCATTGTGGAAGAAGTATTTAATAATTCAACCCGACACGGAAAACTGGTTTATAGATGCCCATTCGATTTTGTAGTGGGTACCTTTCCAATTGAACATCCATGGGGCATCACAACACACGAAACCTGTTACTCCAGAGTAGTTTGCGACACCTCCATATGCCCAATATGTGATCATCTTGTGCCCACAATGGTAAAAACAGCTTTTCCAGATGGGCGACTGAACTAACCTATCCCACATCGAGAGTGAAATTTATTGAGCTAAAATTCGTAGGTTTGACTAACTGAAACTGAGGAACTATCGAGTATAGCCATGAAGTAGAAAAGCCTTTTACAATGATGCACCTTATTCAATGTAAATGGGTTAAATGATGCCTGAATTGAATTGAAGCTGAATTAAGAAACAAAGCAGAACTGTAACTTTCTACTGTAGGTGATATATTTGCATCAAGTTGTAATGAAACAGTTCAGGTGCTATATGTGTTACCAACTTCAGATCCAATTCAACTCAATCAAGAAGCATCCAATCATCTCCTGCCTAAACTAACTGAAGTTCCACGTGATCTAGCTCAACATAGTCCAATTCATTCAATGTAATTCCTTTGAATGCGTTCTGTTCATACTGGTTGAAAGATGCAACATGGAATGAGTTTTACCTTTCCTGATAGCTGCTCAAAAAAGTCAATTCTAGCCCTCCTATGTTCCTAATGAAGTTTTCCTTGCATTGTTGAAAAGAATACATTCTGCAAATAAAGAACAAAACCGTGTTCTGAAAATCCACGAGTCAATCTTTTAAGCAAGCTGAGGGATAGGGTATTTTTAGGGAACCAAAAGTAGGATAAATTTCTAACTGAATCCAAGTACCGCAGTATAACCAACATGTGTAATCTAGACGTATTCCGAAGAAATCTCGCATAATTCGTTTTGAAAAATATTTCTTAGGGAACTGACTTGTAACAGAGGATGTGATAATATCATCTCTTCAAATGAAGCATGTAGAACAAGTCTTGTCACATTTCTATCTCTCTCTTTAAACTACGTCACTTTGGAATGCTAATGCAATGAGTTTCCTTCGTTGGGGGATACCCAGGCGAAGAAGAAGAATAGTGAAGCTTCCTTTAGAGTCCTGGAATAAGGTTTTAAAGCCTTGTTCTCTCTCACTTTAGCCAGAAAGTTATTACTAAGTGTAAAGATCAGTTAGTTTTTAATATGACTGCTGGTAGAGAGAAAACGATCGCTGATGGGTGATATTTCCACATAAAGTTCAAATCTCTCAAACAGTGTGGGTCTGTTGCTGAGTCCAGGCAGTATATTACTATCTTCAATCCCCAGGGGAAAAAAATTGCAGTGAATTCCATCACAAAGCTGTAACGGCTCTGTTTTAAGTAACGTGACAGTCATAAATTCTAAAACTCAAATAGTTTTTTAGGTCACTGCAATGAATGTAAGCCTATATTATAATTGTTGTGAACTTTATCTCCTACATTTTCACATTTTAAAAATGTTTGTGATAATTAATTATTATTGTCATTTGACATGGACGAAAAGCTTAATGGCTTGTAAGAGAGCAATGAGGGAGTTACGTCTCTAGTGTGAAAAGCTTAAATGCAGTATTTTTTATGTAGTTTGATTGTATGTTTGTAATTTTTTGTAGCAAACTGAACAACACTTGAGCGGGAAGATGATGCATGGTGGAATTCAATAGTATGGTAAGATCTTACTTTGCCAATGTATGGGACCGTTAGATTAGCAAAAAGTGTGGCCGGGAACTTTTTCATTTTTCAAGAATAAGGTACTTTCATGTCCAAGAAAAACATCTGATTGGATTTGCAAATACCTGCTCATTATGTTGCAAGATTGACGGTCAGGTTCATGCCCTGATAGAGGTCAGCTATTGGGTAGAGACCCTGTGTTTGCAGAGTGGTTGAGAGCTTATGAGGGGCAGCTAACACCTGATGCATTACCCCCCTTCAAGCCTGCCTGACCAAAGAATATACAGATGACCTAACGTCAAGACTAGTGCCCCTACGTAGCCCAGCCACTAACCTATATAAGGGTGGATTGCAAATAGCTAGGGGCAAAGGGAGGGTATGTTTTTGAAACCCCTTGACCAACTGCCATTTTTCTCTGAGGCTGGAAGGGGCTGGTCTTATACATCGAGGTTGAAAGACTGCATTGCAAGATTGGTAGTCAGGCTTGTGCCCTGTAAAAACCTCAGCTGCTGGGTTGACACTCTATGGCTGGAGGTTAGTTGGGTGTTAAATAGGATACCTTTGAGGGAGGGGGCTCAATTGACATTGCAAAGCCTGATGTTTAGGATATCGACTTGGATTTTCAGTTTAGCCATGGAGTGTTAGCCCAGTAGCTAAGATGTGACAGGTACAAGCCTGATTACCAGTTCCGCAATGCATGCTTTAAAACACGGTCAATAAGACAAGCCCATTGCAGCCTTAGAAAAAAAGTTCCAGTGGACCAAGTGGTTACAAAAACCAACCATTCCCACTCTTGAGTATTCCACACTGAATCTTTTGGAACTCAGCCTTGCATAAAGTGTTGGCTTGGATGTATGCAAGCACTAGTCTTGACGTTACGTTTCTTGCATTTTCTTCAGCCAGGCTAGCTTGAATGCGGGCGATGCCCATCTTCAAGTGAAGACCTAGCCACAAGATTTTTATTGCAATGTTAATTGAGCCCTCTCTCTCAAGGGCATGCTTTTTAACACTCAACCACCCTCCGGCCATGGAGTATCAGCCATGTGGCAGGTGTGCGATAGGGTAGAAGCGTGACTACCAATCCTGCAGTGCAGGCTATGAACCTGGATGAAGGAGACAAGCCCCTTCCAGCCTTATAATTATATGCCAGCTGACCTAACCCTTAGCTCTCCACACAGAGGCATTTAAAGCCCACCCTTTGATAGGGTGGTGGCTGGGCTGCATGTGGCTCTAGCCTTGACGTTTAGCTTCATGCATTTTCTTCAGCCAGGCTGGCGAAAAGGGTGGGCGATTCCTGCCTTCAAGCGAAAACCTAGCCATCAGGTTTTTACAGCTCTTCAAAGCCTGCAGCTGTGGACTTTCAATCCCCCTCTAACCACAGGGTGCTCAGCCACTTCCCGAGCTCTGACAGGGCATGAGCCTGAGTGTTAATCTTATACAAAGGGGGCCTGTGAGTCTAATCAGATGTATATCTGAGTGAATTTACCAAAATATACCCAAAATAACAACAAACTAACTGTCAATTTCCATGCACACACCTTTTAAAATTCCAGACTTTTACCAACACTTTTACACCCCCTAGTAAAAGTGATCTAGTCCCATAGAAGAACTGTAGAAAGCATGGGTCTGACTCTGAATTAATGAGATTCAGCCTGATAAGAACTCAGCCAGGATGTTCAATTTTAGGCAAAAAGCAAATCCCACATGAAGCCTACCTTTCCCGTCCTTTAGCTTTTCACACAAAGCTTAAGTATTGGTTATGTGTTGGTGTTTTAACTTAGATCTAATATGTTTATATATATATATATATTCTGTATATGAGGGAAACCCTGACCTTGTACACCCCAAATAATCATATATATATATATATAAACGATTATTTAGGACAATAAAAATTAAACGATTTGTAAACGATTATTTTCCTAAATAATCGTTTACAAAGCTCCATATGATTGTAGAGCACTCTGCGATTCAAAGATAA